TTCAAACTTAAAAATACAACCATAAATATGAATCAATACCCTGGTCTGTGCTTTAACAAGTTCTTTCTCCTTCCCAGTACCAACAAGGGATAAGTTTTAATAATGCCCTTCTGGTCAAATGCTAACCCTCTTGTGCTTTTAACCTTGTTCAACAATAATGTAAACCTTTCATATCATCATCTCCCATTGTAGAGAGAGATCACGTACTTGCACGGGTACATGGGAGGGTTCAAGGAGAACAGATGGTAGAAGAGGGGGGACGGTGTGGGGGTGCGGGACGAGGGGAGGGAGAGGGAACTGGGATTGACATGTAAAACAAGCTATTTAAAATTTTAAAAAATCAAATAAAAAAAGAGGGGGCTCTCTCTCTCTCTCTCTCTCTCTCTCTCTCTCTCTCTCTCTCTCTCTCTCTCTCTCTCTCTCTCTCTCTCTCTCTCTCTCTCTTGGCCTGGCCAAGACCATAGAGCGCTGACCAAGTTCTCAGCTTTCATGGAAGTTATTTCTATCTATCTTATTAAATATCCAACTACCTTTTTCCTGGAATCCTTAGTATGACTCACTTTCCTGTCACATCCCATAAACATTCTCACCTGAATGTTTTACTCTGACCATCTTTTGGTTCTGAAAAACAAATGGCTAAAATTTCTTGTTAAAGATCCTTTCATGGATATTTTTCAGGATTGCCTTTTCTCTGGCTATTCCCGTGGCTGAGCTTTTTATCTCCTACGGTCTTTACTGAAGTCTCATTATTCTGAACAGGAGGGTCTGCTGTGATTACTGTATTTGAAATTTTTGTCTTTCACGGTAGTTTTGACTACCATACTTTTTTAATACTTAATTTATTGCATTTGAACTCACAATACATTTATTTGTGATTGCCATTGTTTATTAACTGTTATTTCCAGCTGGCATATGCATTTCTCAAGAGCAATGATTGGTGGCTGATTGATTGAATAGTGATACACCATGCATTTCGACATCAGTACTTTTAAAAGTTTTAACAATAGGAGTTAGAAGAATAGCTCAGTCTGTAAATTGCTTATAGTTGTAAGCATGGAAATCCGAGGCTGATACAAGCACTTGTGTAAAAATTCCAGGTATAGGGTGCAAGAGACAAGAGAATACAGACTTGCTGACCAGATAGTCTAGTCAAATTGGTAAGCTCCTGGTTTAGTGAAAGATTCTAGCTCACAAAATTGGGTAACAAGCAACTGAGGAAGATATCCAATGCCAACCTCTAGGTTGTATACATATGTACACACATGCACTTGAATATACAAGTACATATAGATACAGGAAGTATCAATAAATTATATTTGGTGAAAGAATATATGGTGTTCTGCACATATACATATCAGTATTTTTGTATCTTTGAGGCTTGCTCTGTTGCAAAGAAGTGTTTATAATAGTTGGGTCTTCACTATGCATGATTTCATGTTTTTACTTTTATATCCATGATCAAAAACCAAATTTTCTTCCCCTTAGTGTTCTCTTGATATAAGTATTTTTGAAGACCAAGGAATGGAAACAAATTCTTTTTAAGCAGTTAAAGTATTCAGCATATACTTAAACTTTCTCTGCTTGAATGAGGATGATGAAGTAAAAAGGCAGCTGTAATTTTTCCTGTCACCCATAAACATCTCTTCTCTCCAAGAATACTGTGGATAGAAGTGCTGAGGCAGAGTTCAGAGGCCTCTACTCGAGCCTCTTAATACTGACTTATATTCCTACAGTTTTATAATTGTGGCATTTGATGTCATTCTTATTTATAAGAGCCAGCCTTTATGCTTTATTCCAACTGTGCTTTTAAAGTTAATATATTATGCTTTATGATACTGAGTATTTTCAAATTCTTTATCACGCCACCAGATAAAATATACCAGTTTTTATACTTGTCTTACAAGGTCATGTCTAAACAATTGCCTGCTTATATCAGTACAATAAAAATGTGCTCAATAGGTGGAAGGCAGAAGCAGATAGTGACATGAAACAGATTTGCAATGCTTTAAATGCTTTACGCTCACTAAGATAAAGAGCAAAATCTTATTGTTGACAGGTAGGACAATTTAAAATTCTACTTCAATGTGTATTTGCCTCTGTGATCATAACATCAAACACAGGTCCTAAAGCTGCTGGACTTCCTAGAGACATATTTTGATGTCTGTCAACATCAATGAGAAGGTTCATCCTCTATGGTGAGAAGAACAAATGAATGACAAGGCAAATATTCTGGAAATGCAATGTAAGCTAATTCAAATGTCTAGGTCACTGAGCAGAGATATTAATAGTGGTTTCATAAAAATCATGACATTTTATTAAGGGTTGTTTCTATTATAAATGTAGATGGCATGAACTTTTGTCCATCAAATATATCTAGAAAAATAATTCATGAAGCATACTAAGTTTTAGTGAAAATTTTATACCTTTATGAATTTATAAATGATCACATAAATTTATTTATGAGAAAGTGATTAAGTACATCTTTCTCTAGAAAGTTCTGAAAGGGAGCTCAGAATCTTTCACCATTATTAGTATTGTTATATTATACTGAAGTGTTCACAGACTCATCTTACATACAACTGAGAATTAAGGAGTAGAGACTCCACTCTGCTAATAATCAGAGTATGTGTCAAACATGGAGGCCCAGTGACTAACTAATTTAACCTTGGTCATAAAACTTATCTATAGCTCAGTTTCCATATTTGCACATTGAGAATAATAACAATGTCCATTGAATAAAACTTACTGTGAGGATCAAGTTAAGTATATATGAAGTACACAGAACAATGTTTGACATGCATTGTTACTATGTTTTTCCAAAAGAACTTTGTAAATGTAGCTCCGTAAAGATAGGGTTGTGTTTTTGCAGTCTGGTGTAGCATGTTGAACTGGCTTCCATTTAGCCCTTTTGTTAATAGCAACTCATTCTTCTATTTTGCTGATCTTGCTTATGACTTCATACTTACCTTTCAACACCCATTCTAGTCCCACCAGTTCTGCTCTGTTGACAATTCTGAGTTTCACCTCACCTAAGTCTTTACCAAGCTCAGGTGTAAAAATAACATAAAATAGAGTAATATTCATATTTTATCGGTTGAACTTTGTGGATTTAATTCATACTCAACCAAAAATGAGCTCTCTGTGTACTGAGTTGGTCCATACATTATAAATCTTTCAACTGTTCTTGCATATAACCAATATAGCATTTATTGTGTTGTATTAAAAAATAGGAATCTCTTATACATTATCTGAATTCTCTGCTTCTTTCGTTAAAATTCTAAGTTTCATGTTACTTGGGACTATGACTCATTTGCCTTTGTTATTATTCATTTAATCTGTGGTGTGTACCAAGCTGACTTAGCTATGTTGTTCACTTTATAAGATTTTTGAACTGACAGTTTAAACAAATTAATCAAGTTATAAGTGCCTGTATCTTGACTTTAGTGTAAGAATAGTGTCATGTCGTTGTTTTGGTGTACTGTAGAACTTATAGAAGCCAACACCAAAATCAGTGAATGACAATAAGATCTAGGTCTTGCTCACATCTTTTTATTTTTCCAATATCCCATGGTTTTCACCATGCTTCCTGCCTTCTCCCACCTCATATTTCCTGTTGTGGTGCTTAATTAAACGATGTTTGCAAAGCACATTAACATCTCCCTGGTAGAGGCGTGATGTTGGTGATATTGCATATTTTAGATGGGTTGTGACATCTCTTCTCTCTTCTTGGTTGTTAATATAAATCCCAGAGTACTCTAAACTGGAAGCAGCAAAGCAATACATAATCTGAGGTGACAGAAAAACATAACACATTTCCACAGCAAGGTCCTTGAAGACTTCAGGAATGTGTTTTCTTTTAAAGCATATCTTCCTAACACTTTTTCCTTCTAAAGCACAATGGAAAATTGTTGAAGACTAATTCCAACACTTATTAGTACTAATAATAACATTATGTCACTTAACAATGAAGAACAAATAGGATTACTTGCCTTTTAAGTTTTAGTTTAGGGAACTGTGAAAACTGGAGTCAAATAATTGATGTCACACTTACCTTTAAGATCTGCCCATCTCAAAGCTTATGACAAGCAATGTAAACAAGGGAATAAATACTTCAATGAGAAGACTTGAGGGTGTATTTGCTATCTGTGCATATGACAAAGGATTAATATCCTAATAAGCAAAAACCAAAACCATCCAATAAATTAATAAAGTAATAAAATAAGCATCATCTTCAATGAAAATAAATACATGAAAAATGTTCAAAATCATTAGCTCTCAGGAAAATTCAAATTAAGAAAACATTGAAATTCCATTTTGTCCCCACTTAATCAATATGGCTATCGTCAGGAAAACAACAATAAATGCTGGTAGGGATGTTGTGGAAAAGGTGTCCTAGTGGGAATGTGGTCTTTTGTAGCCAGTATGGAAATCAGTATGAATGTTACACAAAAAAATTAACTAAAAATAGGAGTTCTATATTGCTCAACAGGGAATGTTACTAGAGAGATGCTTGCCCATCTGTTTCTTATAGCACTATTAGCAGTAGCCTAATTATGGGGTCAACTGAAATGTCCATCTGCAGATGAACAGATAATGAAAATGTGGTACATATACACACTGGAGTTATATTCTTCCATAAAGAGCAAAATCATGTCCTTTACAGGAAAATAATTATCACTTCAGATTATCTGTTAAGCAAAATAAATTAGAATCAGAAAGAGAAATGTTAAATGTTCTCTCATTTATGAATCCTAGATTTTAAATTGTATGTATTTATTCATGTAGATTTTATGTGTGTGGATATTTTGTTTGTATGTATGCTTGTGTATTTGAAGAAGTTAGATGATAGTGCTGGGTTCCCTGGAATTGGAGTGACAGATAGTTGTGAAATGCCATGTGGGTACTGAGAATTGAACCCTGGTCCACTAAAAGAGCAGACCATGATCTTAACCTCTAAGTTGTCTTCCCATATCAAGTTGTATGTGTGTGTGTGTGTGTGTGTGTGTGTGTGTGTGTGTGTGTGTGTGTGTGTGTAATAAAAATAGAAGTTATATTGCCTGGGAGAATGATAGGGAATTATGAGTGGGACAGATAGGAGAAAATGCAGGTGGAGAGTCAATATGGTCAAAGTACATGATATATCTACATTAAAATAATGTTTATGACACACATCACTATATATAATGACTATACACAAATTTAAAATATAAATATAGGAAAGATCTGTTAACATGACAAACAAGCAAATAGTATATTTTCTTATGGGCATATTCATACATAGCAATGCATTTTCTGTTATATTTCTAATGGGAAGCTTCTTAAAAATTAGGATGACAAATGAGTTAATGATTTAAATATAAGTGACTGTAGGTAGGATGGCAAAATTTAGCTGAGAGTCTTAGATAGTCACTCTCAGAACGTCTTCTTGCTTTCTCTTCATATAGACACCTCCAGGCTGGTTACTGAACTCTCAGCCTCCTTGGGGTTGTTGGGCATTGCCAAGCCACTCTGTGCTCTACATTTTCTCATTCTTCACCTAGACTGCAAGTTCAATAAAGAAAGATGTTATATTTTGTGCTTCTTTAAAACCTGTAGAGAGCCAACATATTTAGTCATCAGACACAATGAGTATGCAGTCATCCTATGGCCTTTTATAAAGACACTCGACCCTCTATTATATGTGGAATCTGCAACCAGAGATTAAGCAAACTGTGCATTAAAATATTCTAAAAACGTAAAAAGCAAAAAAAATATTCTAAAAATATGTCTTTGCTGGGCAAGTACAGCTATTTTTCTACTGTCATTATTACTAAGTAATGTGGTATAATAACTATTTTATGCCTTTTTGTATGAGGTACTATAAGTCATCTCAAAATTATTTAAAGTGTTACAGAAGGTAGTATAGGTTACCATAAATATTGTGCAAACTTTTAGAAGAGACTTGCACATTTATGGGTGTTTGTGTCTATGGGGAAGACAATGGATTCTGACGGATGACCATATCATCATTCTTCCATGACTATTGAGGAAGCTGATCACTATACTAGCAGCATGACCATGAAATTAAATTTTAGCAATTCCAGGTGATCATTTGGCATAACACTTGTTTCAGGTCTCTACACTTAATTTCCATGTTTAGAAAATTGTGGATTGTCATAAAAATTGCCATATGATATAAACACTTAAAAGATATTTCATAAGTGGTAACTACTATTATAATCATTATTAGTCTTTGAAGAGCATATACAGCTGGGTTTCTTGGGGAGTTCCATAAATAATTAGATTCTTAGGATTCATCACTCACTGAGAAACTGTCTCTAGTAAGCCATGGAACCTATTTGAGAAATGGTGTATTAATTGTGCATTGTTCATAACTCACCCATATTGTTACACGTCTTCCCAAAGATATTTGTCACTAGAATTTCCAGCAATTGAATAAAATATACTGAAGCTTGTGATATTAGAAGGTGGCTTGTTAAAAAACTGGAAGCTATTAGTTTGAAAAACAAGGATGAAAAAGCACCTAGTGTAATTTTTCTGACTAGAGAAAATAATTGCTTTCTCACAGTTTGAAAATTATATAAACTACTTTTTCAGCCCTCATAGTACAACTGCCATTTCCAATTTCAAAGTAAATCTAAGGCTTCAGGATAGCCATGTAATCTTTGAACTTCAGCATTTGAGAGAATTATTCTTAGGGCAAGGCTGACTCTGAATTTCATTTTATTCTTTTGCCAATTGGCAGTATCACTTACAATTGATATTAAAACTGCTGTCAGTAAAATATTTTAACCGGCGCTTTTCTATATATTGTTCTTTAGCTCAGCATTATATAGTACTGTTGAATTTTCAAAGCAAAGCACAGAAGATCAAGGACACCAGGGTGGAAACATTGGGAACTGGAAGCAGTTTCTCTCAGTGTGTATTTTCAAACTCGAGAATTACTCTTATTTCAGTTTTTAACTTGTTGTACAGTTTTTGAAGTATGCTTAAGAATAAATCTAAACCATTGTTAGGAATGTTAATTTAAGACAAATTAATTGACTTTATTTTTTCATTATATAGTGTGGTAATATTCTTATGTGACATAAGAGTTCAAAATAATGGTATTTTAAGAACATGAAGTTGCTGTTTTCTCTTCCGATAAGAATCTGGATGGGTCATACAGAGCTGACAAGAGGCCTCACAATCTATAGAAACCCTGAAAACACACAGGTACACTCTATTTTTGTCTTGTTGTTCTTTCATTCTCAATATTTAACCTGCATGCTGCTGTTTACTATGAGTGCACCCATTCTATGGACTATGACAACATTTGCTTCACTCAGTTGGTGACAAATACAAATTCTATAATACACATGCAATATAAAAATATATAAGCACACAGTATAAGTAGTAATTCCAGAGTAGGATTTGTAAGTCATAGAGGATTGAAGTCATTATAACTAGAAGTGAAACTCCTGGAACTCAAGTCATTCCTATGTCTGAAATAATAAGTGAAGAAAGCCAGGCTACAAATTTGAAAGATTATAGAACACAACCAAATTGGTTTCATTTCAAAGATCTAAGAATAATTCAACATCAGCAAGTAATTAAATGTTATACCATACAGATATAGACTTAAGGGCAGAAACTACATGTTTATGTGAATTTGTGCAGAAAAAGGCTTATATCATGTTCAACATTCCTTCATGATTTAAAGCCTTGGAAAACCTAGGAGTAGAAGAAACATATAATAATATATATCAATACTATCAAAACATACTTTGAATGATAAAACTGAAGGTATTTCCACTAAAATAAGGAATGATGAAAATTTGTGCACTCTACTCTTATTAAGTATTCAGCAAGATAATGGAATATGAAATAGATGGGTAGGAAAAGAGTCATATGATACAATGACTTACAGAAGCACAGGAGACATCCGATTGACAAAACAATTCTAAGCAGAAAGAGCAGGGATGAAGGAATCAAAATACTTTCTTCAAGAGTATACTACAGTACAATAGTAACAAAACAGCATGTTACTGGCACAAGATCAGATCAATAGACTAATGGAATGGAGTAGAGCTTCCAGAAATACATCTACAAAGCTATAGTCATAGAATCTTTGTTAATAGCATATGTTAGAACAACAACAATAAACAAAACAAAACAAGCCAAAATAATCAAACAAAGTCAAAAACAACAACAACAATATCAAAAAACCAGCCATCTCAACAAATGTTTCCAGTTATGCTAGTTACCCACACACAACAGAGTAAAATTACACTTGTATCTCTTACCTTAAGCAAACATTACTTCAAGATGGATCAAAGACTTTAATTTTAGAACCAAAACTAAAACTGCTGGAGGAAAACATAGGTGAAACTCTTTAAAATGTTAGCAAAGGCAAAGGATTTCTGAAAAGTTCCCAGTAGGTTAGGAACTATTAGCAAGCATTGACAAGTATTATTACTTAACCTTCAAAGAAATCTAATCCATCAGCAGAGTAACAAACAGCATGCAGAAGAGAAAGGACTTTGCCAACTCTCAATAGGCAGGTCATTGACATCTTGAGTCACATTCTATGGCATCTAATTTCTTCTTTTCACACCCCTGCAGGTACTGATACACACATACTCATATACATACAAACAGACATATACATATAAATTAAAAATCATCAGCACATATATAGGTAGCTGGATGTGTGATGGAATTCAAATGCCATGAAAGCAGAAGGAATAAACGTTTAGACAGACGAAGAAAACCAGCAAATGGGGGAGTTGAGAAGCAGTGAATGTTAGCAGGGATCTGAAAAGGAACAAAGTTTGATGATTTACACATATAAAACTTTCACAAGGAAGCCCATTTCTTTGTGTGCTTACCAGGATGTCAATGCTTAAAAAATGAATGTCAGTTCTGATGAAGAGAGATCCCATCAAGGCTCAGAGAAGAAAGGTAGTTACACTACCTGTGAAATGAAACAATACGAACTGTGGGTTTTGCCATATTTCAGAATGCAGAATCACATAAATTTGCTGAAACAATGAAAGGTGAATCCCAACAGAATCACCAATGACTAATTTCTTATCAATAGTATATTTTAAAAATAAGAAAGAGGGATACTCTACTATTTTTTCTCTTCTTGTTTTGTATTACTGAACATAATTTTCTCAAATACAACAGAAATGAACTCTCCCTGTATAAAAATCAATGTTTTCCCCCTCTAGGATTTCAAATTACAGTGCTATTTCGGAAGCATCATTTCACTTATGTGGTAGCAATTTGTCTAAATCTTTGTCCTGTGGCCTCAGCGAATACATTTGGCACAGAGAGTTGGAGGATAGAAAGAGGGAGAGCGTCTGTGAACACAAGTACCTTGGGAAATCAGCAGAGATGGGAAACAAATACATAAAAGGCACCCTGTGCAGAGTATATGCTTTTAATGGGACTTCATTAAAAGTACATACTTCTTAAAGTTTGCCTCAGCACGGAGGTGGGTTTCTACAGAGGAAATTGAACACTTAGAAGTTTTCTTTCACTTCTCCTTTTATCCTGTTCACGATGAATATAGATAGAACAAAAAACAGCTGCTGGTTTATACTCACTTTGTAGAAAGACTTATAGCAGTTTCCACTGGTTTCCTGGGTACTTTAGAATCAAGGCCAAAGGGTAAACCCCTTTATGAACTGGGTAGCCAAGCCACTGGAAGAGTGAAGATGCAGCAGGAATTGCCTCCAAGGGCAATAGCTCTGCCTCCTGGAATGTTCTAGAAAATGCCCTTTTCTGATGCATTGGCTCATGGGGAGATTCTGAATCCAATCAATGTCTGAGAGAGAGCTGGCCTTCTATAAATGCCAAATCAATGAATGAGTATATCAATAAAAACAAAGAGCCAGAATCCAGGAGGTATTACTAGAGGTCCCTGGATGGGAATTAAAAAGAGAAAACAGCAGAATTAATTGATGCAAACAACAGGGCAGAATAGAGCCACAATGAAATTCAAATTAAAAGTACATGGAGCTGACACAAAAATCTCAGCTGGGAGTGCACGCACCAGTCACAGAAGTCTGGGATTGATTCTAGCTGCACACTCCTCTAGCTGTAAGATTCTGGGGGATTTCATTTTCTCAAGTAGCAATATGCTTATCTACAAAGATATAATCTATTAATGCATTCATATCTTTGTATGTGTGTGTAGCATATGTGTGTGCAGGTGTGTGCACATGTATGTGTGTGCACATGGAGGCCAGGGGTCAGTATTGGTTGTCTTCTATTATCTCCCTTTACCTCTTTTTTGACACAGCATGTCACTCTGATCCTGGAGCTCACCGGTTTCACAATAGCTGACAGAGAAGCCCTAGTAATCCTCCTATCTCTCTTTACTCACCACAGGGATAAAAGTGTGCCCTGTCACTCTGGGATGCTTGTGTGGATGCCAGCACTCAGGTCCTCATGCTTGTGTGATTCCCAGAGTTCATTCAATACCTGAGTCTACTCTGGCATCATTCCTATTCTAGAATTGAGTAAATAAGTACACAACAGGAAGTCTTGCTAAAAGTGCTTAAAAGATGTGATATTTAAAAATTACCTACAAGAAGTACATATAAAAATACATCTCATGATGAAGAAACCATCAGTGTATATTACTAGAGGGAAGAACAAATTGAAAATGGAAAGAAGGTCACTATGTACTTGTGGATAATGAGACGAGTGATATACGAGGTGAAGATAGAGAGCTGGCCAGGGCTGAATCCTGGCAATGTTCACAAATCAGGCCATGAAGACTAAATGCATTTTAAATGTAATGGGAAATGTATAGCTGGCATTACTGCAGGTCACCATTGCTGAATGTGAAATGAATTGGTGTGGGATGTACACTGAAGCTGGGAGGCAAATTAAAAAGCCATTGTAGATGTCTAGGAGAGAGATAGTAACAGTGGTTGAAATAGAGAAATGATGAAGAAGAGAGAGAAGCATGGATTTGGGATGTGTCCTGGAGATTACATCAACAAAATTGATTTGGGGAAGTAATGAAAGGGCAAACTGAAAAAATTCCTATAATGTTATGTTTTTTTATTTGACTTTTTAAGTTATTTTATTTCTTAGATTTCAAATACCTCATTTTCACTTAACCCTTTCTTCCTTCAAGCCTCCCATATATCCCTTACTTGCTCACTTTCAAAGTAATGACCTATTTTTTCTTAATTGTTACATATTTTTTAAAGGGTGAATCAAATGACCTTTGGGAGCCATTCCTCACAAAGGGATACTCTCTCAGCCTAGACACACAGGGGAAGGTCTAGGCCCTGCCCCAAATCATGTGACAGATTTTGAAGATCCCTCATGGAAGGTCTCACCCTTCCTGGGGAACAGAAGAGAGATAGTGTGGGAGCTGGTGAAGGGCATGAGAGGATGGGAGGGAGAGGGAACTGGGATTGATATCTAAAATAAAATTGTTTCTAATTTAAAGAAAAAAAGGGTGAATCAGAGGCAGAGAAGCAAGCATTCTAGTTAATAATGTCTTTGCAATTTAAGTTTAAATGTGAATTAGACATTTGAATGCCAAATGCTGAATGATATAAGATTGAGACTATAGGAAGAAGAAACCAGCAAACCAAGATTTAGAAAAACTGAGAAGTTCTATCCAATGAGATATTCAGAAAGCTAAAGCTATGTTCCATGGAAACTGGGAAGACATTTCTTTTTTTTTAAACATTTTTAAAATTTTTAAATAGCTTGTTTTACATGTCAATCCCAGTTCCCTCTCCCTCCACTCCTCCCTCACTCCCCCATCACCCCCCCAGCCACCCACCTTATTGCCAATTCCTTCCACATAGGGGATATCTAGAGTCTGTCATTTCACTCTGGGTAGGGTTCAGGCACTCCCCTAAGAGTCCAGGCTGAGAGAACATCCCTCATTTGCTACGGGCACATGATGTCTGTTTATATTCTAGGGATAAACACTGATCCACTGCTCAGGGCCCCATAGGATGCCCAGGCCTCCTCACTGACACTCGCATTCGGGGGGGGGTCCAGATCAGTCCCATGCTGGCCTTCCCGCTGTTGGTCTGGGGTCCAAGAGCTCTCCCCTGTTCAGATCAGCTGTCACTGCTGGTTTTGCCAGCCCATTCTTTACCAATTTGCTCATCACTCCTCTCTCTCTGTCACTGGGTTCCTTGGGTTCAGTTCAGTGCTTAATTGTGGGTGTTTGCCTCTGCTTTCATCAGTCACTGGATGAAGGCTCCAGGATGGTTGTAGACATCAAATTCATTATCAGGAATGGGCATTCGAGGTGGTCTCTCCACTATTGCTTAGCTTGCCAATTGGTGTAATCCCTTTAGATCACTAGAGGTCACAATGGTGCCTCATCTGTCTTCTAACCTATGATTCCCTCTTCCCCCTATTCTACCCCCCCACTCAACCTTCCTGTTCTCCTATGACCTATTCTCTCTTCCTCTTCTCCCCCTCTCTTCTTCCCAGCTCCCACTCCCCAACACCCCTCGTAGTGTTCCCCTTCCATTCAGAGGATCTTGCCTCATTCCTCTTCTCTTGGATACTATGCATATCTTTAAGGTTCTTTCCTGTTTCCCAGACTCTCCATCAGTGGAAGTGCAGACTGGCACTATCCTGATCCATGTCTAAAATCCATATATGAGTGAGTACATACCATGTTTGTCTTTTTGCGACTGGGTTACCTCACTCAGGATGGTTTCTTCCAGTGCTATCCATTTACCTGCGAATTTCAAGATTCCATTTTTTTTCTGCTGAGCAATACTCCATTGCATAAATGTACCACATTTTCTCTATCCACTCTTCAGTTGAGGGACATCTAGGTTGCTTCCAGGTTCTGGCTATTACAAATAATGCTGCTATGAACATAGTGGAGCAGATGTCCTAGTTGTATTTATAGTGCCATTTAATGCCTAGTGCTCACTTGAAAACTGAATGATAAAGGAAGAAAGCTGCCAAGCTCAAGCCAGTGACTTGACAGCCCAGACCACATCTGATGGTCCTCTAATCTATATAAATGTGCCATGAGATGCTGATACCCTGATACAATAAAAATGTAAAGTTAAAGAAGATTCCAAGATCATGTGCAGGCAAAGTGCAGTCTCTGTGGAGCGCACAAAGCAAACACAAGTGCCACTGAGGGATCGTGGGCTAAGGAAATTGATTCTGTAAACCCAAAATCAATGTCTGAAGATGCTTGAAGAATGGGACATTAATACAGAATGAGTATGCCATGATATTCATTTGTGTTGGTTCATAGTAAATGTTTGAGAGGAAGTCGCCAACTGAGAATGAGCTGAAGCTGCCATTGAGTCTCTAGGAACTTTTTACGAGACATAGAGGAAGGAATTCAGTGGTAATTTTTCTGAGTAGCAACCAACTGAAGAAGTACATCTAGTGCAATGGAATTTTAAGTTGCTAATTCACGTTGACATTGATGTATGTATTGTGCAACCCCCCAAGGAATGTCCATTAAATTACTCTATTCAGGCAAGGGGGGGCAGATAATGCTATTTTTAGATGTCTAGGGTCATGCATACAACAGTGTTTAGAAGAAGGAAAATTGCAAGTTCCTGCCAAGAGATTAGTTATAATCGCATAGTATATAGCGAGGAGTGGCATGAGGATCCACTAGTGGAATTGGTTGAGAACGCTTGGTGAACCTCTGCAAAAGTTGAAGAATGCTGTGAGCATCACAAGAAGGAATGAAGCAGGTAGAGGAGGTGATGGTTGAAGATCCAGGAGTAGAGAAGTTACTGTGATGATACTGTCAGGGTTTGCTCAAGGAAATAGACTATCGTGGATTATTGAAATGGAGCCGAAAAAGCACTTACTAAGTGAGGAATGTAAAGAGTCCATAGGTTATTTTTGAATATTAAAGTTATTTGTGTGTATTACAGAAAGAACCCAGTGATCCCAGTGAATGGGTCAGAATAAGAAGATTCCAAGGATGGAAGGACCAGGTAAGCACAGAGACTTGCCCTAGTTGTCCTTTCCCTCTTCTTCCTCATCCCCATACTCTTCCTTCTCTCCATCCTATGTTTCTACCACTTCCTTGGAGTCTTCTTCATCTTTGGCTGAAAATTTTCATGACAGCTAAGAAGTAAGAAAATTATCAGTAGTTCTCTTACAGAACATCCATCATAATTCCTTTCAGGACTTAGCATATATAGTGTAACTATCACAACGTATCTGTTAGCATTTGGTACCACTGTTAAGAGTCACTACTACTTAATGATTCCACACTAAAAAATGTTAGTCCTGGGAACACATGAATTAATTTTAATTTTCCTCCATTTATTTTTCACCTACAATCATGGATAATTAAGTATGGACATACCCTTGAAAGTAATCCTATCTAAAGGTCTCCACACCTGAGGCAAGGTTATTCAGATGCATCAACACTGGAGAAGCTCACTAAGTACATAGAGTCCAGAGCACTCCTCATAATATAATTCCTATTATTAATGATTTTAACCTTGTGGCTTCAACGGGTTCCTTTAAAAAACCCTAAGATGATTTGAGATTCTTCTGGTGAGAATTTTCTGTTCTGTACCCCATTTTCCAACTGGGTAATTTTGTATTTTGATGTCTAGTTCCTTGAGTTCTTTATAAATTTTTGAGATTATCCCTCTGTCAGATGTGAAACTAGCAAAGATCTTTACCCATTCTGTAGGCCATTGGTTTTGTTTTTATCATGTCCTTTGCCTTACAGAAACTTTTCACTTTCAGGAGGTCCCATTAATTGATTGTTGCTTTCAGTGTCTATGCTACGACTATTATATCTAGGAAGTTGTTTCCTGTGCCAATGGTTTCCAAGCTACTTCTCACTTTCTTTTCTATCAGG